GAGACAGGGTTTTGCCATGTTAGTCATGCTTGTCTTTTTCTTTTTCTTTTTTTTTGAGATGAGTCTCACTCTGTCATCCAGGTTGGAGTGCAGTGGCACAATCTCGGCTCACTGCAATCTCTGCCCCAGGTTCAAGCGATTCTCCTGTCTCAGCCTCCAGAGTAGCTGGGATTACAGGCATCTGCCCCCATACCCAGCTAATTTTGGAATTTTTAGTAGAGGCGGGGTTTTACTATGTTGGCCAGGCTGGCCTCAACTTCCTGACCTAAAGTAATCTGCCCACCTCCACCTCCCAAAGTGTTAGAATTACAGTAATGAGCCACTGCGCCTGGCCCTGTAGGCTGGTCTTAAACTCCTGACCTCAAGTGATCTGCTCGCTTTGGCCCCCCAAACTGCTGAGCCACTGTGCCCGGCCTTCTTTTTTTTTTTTTTTTTTTTGAGGCAGGGTCTTGGCTACATTGCGGAGGCTGGAGTGCAGTGGTGGCATCACATCTCACTACACCCTCCACCTCCCAGGCTCAATTGATCCTCCCATCTTAGCTTCCCGAGTAATTGGGACTACAGGCACTTATTGCCATGCCCAGCTAATTTTCGTATTTTTTGTAGAGTTGGTGTTTTGCCATGTTGCCAAGGCCGGTCTCCAACTCCTGGGCTCAAGGAATGTATCCATCTCGGCCTCCCAAAGTGCTAGTTTGTTTTTTCAAAGTAGAAAGACAATTGTTTATAGCATTTTAAAAATTTTATTTGGAGGCCGGGCGCGGTGGCTTACGCCTGTAATCCCGGCACTTTGGGAGGCCGAGGCGGGTGGATCACAAGGTCAAGAGATCGAGACCATCCTGGTCAACATGGTGAAACCCCGTCTCTACTGAAAATACAAAAAATCAGCTGGGCGTGGTGGCACGTGCCTGTAATCCCAGCTACTCAGGAGGCTGAGGCAGGAGAATTGCCTGAACCCAGGAGGCAGAGGCTGCGGTGAGCTGAGATCGTGCCATTGCACTCCAGCCTGAGTAACGAGAGCGAAACTCCGTCTCAAAAAAAAAAAAATTTATTTGGTGCTATTGCATTCAAGTGGAGAATCATAACCTTGTGAAATAGAGAGCGTAGAGAAAATATCCTCTTTTTTTCTTCTTTTTTTTTTTCTTACTTTCCTATTTTTAAAATTTTTTATAGAGCTAGAGTCTTACTCTTTTGCCCAGTCTGGTTTTGAACTCCTGGGCTCAAGCAGTTCTCCCAAAATTATGACCAAGGCCATAATTTTCAAAAGGAAAGTTTCTGCAGCACAGTTAATATCTGTATGAACTGGAACTGTCTCACACCACAAAGTTACCTTGAAATCAACAAACAAACAAACAAAAAAGAAAAAAAAATAAATCATACTGCCATTTGTTGGCTTTTTGGTAACTTGAGATTTCAGAAGAAAAAATATGGTTATTTTTTATAAATGCTTAATTGCACATATATTTTAATATATACTTAATTGCATATGCTTAATTTTTCATGACCTATATATGTTCCTTTATTTTACTATTATGTCCCATTTTTTCCAACTTATTGCCTGTTAGTATTTCCCTTAGTTCTTCATTTGAGGGCCAGTGGATTTAAGGAAGAAAATTAAATTAGTTCTGCTAATTATTAGTAACTCTTGGTAAAGATTTTGTTATGGGGAGGATGTGGAATTTGATGCTCTGTGAGATTTGTTTAATTGAGGAAGAAAAACTATGCTTTGCTTATGCAATTAATAATTGAATATTATTTCAATCATACTTCATTGATTGTTTTTACTTCATTCTGTTTTAGTTGTTTACATTTCTAGAGCCATCTTGAGACATTTCTTCAAGAATAGAAAATCTGGTCTCATTCATTGCTGTTTTTCCAGCACAGAGCAGTGTCTGGAGTGAAAGCACTACAGCAAATGTGTGATAAATGAATGCATTGGTTATAATATATGCTCTATCAATCCTTTTTTAGAGTTGCTTCAGTTCTGTATAAACATTTGGATAACTATAAACCATTAGAGTTGTTGAAGATAACTCAAGCATTGACTTTTCTGCATTTCCAAAGTAAGGAGTTTTTTGTGAAACTTAGAGAATTACTGCTTAGGTAAGATAAAAATAGAAATGTTTGTTTAGTATTTCATTTTCTAGCCACAATATTTGTTTTGTTTAACTATGTACAGAGGTGCTAGAAGTTATAGAGCAAAATTGTGAAGCTTATTAGTAAAAATGTTATGACACTTTATCTCCCTCCATGACCATTCTGCCAATGCCCATGCTGGGTATATTTTGAAATGGAAATGAGGCCAGTAGGGTGATGAGTTCCCTAGGAGAGGAATGGCAGTAAACTGATGAATAGCAAAGCCATTCTCCTTTCCTGCAGAATGGAGTAACCATGAAAAGATGAGGGCTGCTGATTGAAAACTCCATTTGGGAGCATTCATATTTAGGGCCCTTCAGTCTTGCATGCATGCCTATTTTAAGGCTTATTAAATTTTTAAATTCAAAATTTTGAGAATAAGATATAATGGTGATGTTAGTGAAAAGGTGTCTTCTTTCTTTCTTTTCTTTTCTTTTTTTTTGGGGAGTCTCACTCTGTCACCCAGGCTGAATTGCAGTCACACGATCTCAGCTCTCCATCTCCTGGGTTCAAGTAATTCTCCTGACTCAGCCTCCCAAGTAGCTGGGACTACAGGCGTGTGCCACCAGGCTTGGCTAATTTTTGTAATTTTAGTAGAGATGGGGGTTTCACCATAATGCTCAGGCTGGTCTCGAACTCCTGACTTCAGATGATCCACCCACCTCAGCCTCCCAAAGTGCTGGGATTACAGTTGAGAGCCACTGCTACTGGCAAAAAAGTGTTGTCATACAGAATTTTCCCTTTATAATTTAAAATTACCTTATTTTCTATAGATACAGTTTTTTTTGTTTGTTTTTTTTTTTTTTTGTTTTTTTTT